AATTTAAAATGTGGCGAAAATAACATCAAAATTTGCAATTTTAGTCAAAAAGTTCATGTCCGAACTCTCTAATTGACTCGATCCCCTGTGCGTTGCAAACCGAGATCGCCGTCGATAGGCCTATTAAAAGTGTTTCAATAATTTATTCTTCTTTTAGCTGATTTTGGCATCATCGTCTCAATAAAGAATCTGGTTGAGGGGACTTACTGTTAGCCTATTCCCAAAACCTGCAAGCATTAATGCTATCGATTTAAATACATACAAGGTTTTAAATTAAGTGCGAGTAGTAGTACACGATGGGAGAGAAGGATTTTTTGAATCCATTTATAGCAAACAAATCATGGTTGTGCAGAAACGTGCAAATTTGGAAACTAGAGAACGGTACGCAGAACTAGTCCAGCCGCAAAATCGAATCCAGAGAAGTCAAACACGAGTTACAACTGGATAGATAGCTTGTTAATTAGATGAGAGGCTACGTCAGAGAAGAACAAGCCGCGGTGAGGGGGCAGGCGGCAAAAGCTGGAGAAGGGGCGATGATTATATGATCCATTGAAATTGATAAAGTATATGCTCGACTATTTACATGCTCCAACTAGCACGTACAATTAGCGCCCGAAAGCTTCGAAAGCTATCCTGCCATGCTGCCAGGATGTACAGGATACTCTGGATCAAAGTGCTCTGAACGAAAGTATTCTGGAGCTGAAATATGTACAATGGATAAAAAGTCGCTTGGATCTAAAGGACAGACTCTCAAAAACATTGACAAGAAAAAATACGCTGGATTCAAACGGACTTTTTGCTTGAATCTAAAGGAAATCCTGAAAAATCCAGAGGCTCGGCTCTCCGATTCAAGGAAAAATCGGATTGAATCAAGAGTAGTTTTTTCTTGTCAATGTTATTAAGAGTCTGAACTCTGGATTCAAGCAACTTTTTATCCAGTGTATGGTTGATCAGAGTGCAAAAGACGCGTACAGACAAAATTGTGATTTTTTCCGGTGGGCTAGCGGAGATAGCACCCTCCTGTACCGTTTAAAGGAGTAAAAAAGTTCAACTACTTTTCCTGTACTATATTTGGGACAAATTGTCATTGAGATGCGTATTCCCACGTAAAGAGATGAGGCATCTTACATTGCGTGCCTGTCACCCTAAATTACAGTGAATAAAAAGTTACCCAATTTTTTTGTCCCCCACATGAAAATTGTGGTTCATGCGTGGCACCATATCGGTGGGCGATGATTGAGAGAGGGCTATATTTGTTATTACAACATCATTTTCAAGCAGCAAAGATAATTTATGTAGCTTTCTTGCGTCATCTTCTCGAAACTTTTTTTCAATGGTTATGAGATTTGACGTATTCTAAAAAACTGAATCATCACTCAATCTCAGAAAGTAGGATGCAGGTATGAAGTTTGAACGTACGACATATTAGAGAAAACTGAGGATTAACCACACATCAGGCGAAAGTAAGTAAAAAGTATTAAAGAGAGCGTGAATAAACATTGAATAAGAAGAATGGTCGGATGACTGGAAACAAATAAATATGTTAAGAATGTAATTTTAATGACTTCTATAAAGATTTCGGTTAAAGATTCTCTTGCAACGAAGTAGATCTTGATCATAATGCAATCAAACTTTGAAGTTTTTTTATCACCTCATTGACAAACATTTTCAAAATCTGAGAGCAACGCCAAAAAAATAGTAGATTTTGATACGGTAATTCAAGTATGGTTAGTGACGACGGACTTTATAGGAGTACATACCAAGCTCCAGGTAGTATCTTTCATACTTATGAAAAATGTTGCCATAGGTCTGGTCATTTTCGCCCAATGATATCACAAGATCATATAATAAGTAGAATGATGGTGGTATTTCCCATTTTCATACTTTTTTTCAATGAAAGATGTCCTATCAAAGATAGTTTCAGGAAAATTTCGCTGTCCAGCGCCCAGAGGAATCGAGCTGTGACACCTGAATTCGTCGCTCCATTCCGCTGCTGTCTGACAACGATGCTTGGCCGCGCCTAATTCGATATTCCAATCACGCAGGGCTTCAAAGCGTTTCCCGGCGTGCCCAAAGAGCCCAAAGAGTTGATTTTTTGAATTCGGTTATTAAATTTCATCTGTTTCGGCCTCTGGTCCAGGACTCAATCACCAGGCACCCCTTGTAATTCCGCGCTCTCCCAGCCCCCACCAATTGAAACACAGTGCTAGTTAGTGGCCCCTTCCAACGAGCGGTTGCAACCCGCAACGCGTATCGCTGATCCTGTCCTTCGCCTCTTTCAACAGGACCATCGGACGGCTTTGGGTTGAGGCTGGCTGCACGTCCCAAACTAATCCTACTTGAAAAGTGCCTGCCTTAGATTATTTGGATTGTATTTTGCAAAAAAGGAACCAAAAGCATTGCAATGATGCGAAGGTTGTGCGAATTCATCCCTTGCAGTAAAATAACTGAAATTATGGACAAATATAAAATTTAAAAGGTAATTTTTGTCTTGGATTCACAGTTTTCAGCGAGTAAAATAGAAACTGTCAATGGATAATCAGGTTTATTTTCCAAGACAAAAGAAGTTGCACAATCTTAGCAACATTGCAATGCTCGTGGTTCCTTATTGCAAAATGCAATTCATTTTATGCTTACACTTTAAGAAAACTCCGGTTTTCCAGAGTTTAAGAGTACAATTTTTTCAAAATGATTCTAATCAAAGAGCGGTTGCGGATACCAACGAATGGTCATGAGGCCAAAAGCCAAGCTCATAGCCCAAATCATGTTTCATTGAAATGTACTTCTTTCTCTGTGTTGTCTAAATATACGTTGTGCAAACACATTGCCTCCCCAGAGAAATTGCAGTGTTTAATTTTATATTTTTATATTATTTATTTATTCAATCGTATAGGCAGGCGTACTGCATTACACCTAGCATCGAAATCGTCAAGAATTTTCATAAGCCAATATTTAAAGACTGTTGATGACGCGAATCCTGGTAGGTATAATTATTGCTGCGTGGAGGTTCTCTTCTGGCCTACCTCGAAAATTGAAGGCGGAATAGGAGTACGCGTTGGTATACTTTTTTTCTGTCAGTTCTGTTTTCTCTGATTTTCCTCTGAAAAAACGCCACCCTCGTACTTGTTCATGTCATACAATTTTTGAGGGAAAAATATTATGGTTTCACGGTACGCGTTCAAAATCCAGACATTCGGATGCTGAGATTAAAAATGTTAACTTCCATCGAACTTTTACGCAAATTCAAGCGCTTCTTCGCGTACAGACTTTAGAAAATCCACGCTTAAAAAGGGTATATATCAAAATAAACATTTTAAAAATGTAATGTCAATTCTAAATAATTATGATTCTAATGAAAATGAATTGCAACGGGACTATTTTGGTCTTAAATGTAGAGGATTTTCTTCTAGTTTGAAAAGCAGTAAGAGCTCCCTTGAAGCGTCTGGACTCGGAAGTGAATCGAAGCAATCGATGAAATTCGGCGACGTTGAGGCAGGTGCTTAGGCGGAGGCCTTTGAGTTATTTGCCAAAAGCCCGAATGGCGCGGCTCTTCAAACAATTGGAGATTGGACCGGGCAGAAGAGTCCCTGTCCCCCGTTTCCTGTTCGGCGTTCCGCGGTCATTTTTCCCGAGCTGCCGGAACACGGGACGCGGAATTGGGGATTGGAGCGGAAACCGTTGCGCCAACGTCAAAACCACTGTGGAAATTAATCCGGCCCGATACAAAGCTTAATGGATCCTCTCTGACCGTTCGAATACCGCCGTTTGAACGCTCTCCGTCATAAGTCCATGTTGCAATTACGATAACTCGCGTACCTCGATTCGGATGTTTCAAGATTTCCACCTGGAGAGAATTCGAACAAATGACTCATTTACGTGGGATATGCGATTTTATTTGCTGTGTTATCGTGAAGTTTTAACTATGGAGCACACAAGTTGCACACGGAAAGAAAAAAATCGTTCAAAGGCACCCGAAGTTCGAGTCATATAGATTCCTGGAGTTTCCGGAAACTTGAAGTTTAAGTCCCGAAGTTAGAGTCACACATTTAGAGTACTAGAGGTATTCGAGATACTTCGGTTAAAACTTCTATGGCGTCAACCTAAACACCGAAGTACTCTAGATGTCTGACCTGAACTTCGGCTGCTCGATCCGAAAAACTTCAGTGCTCGGTGCGTCCTAAACTACGAGTCGCATGCACGAATTTTTTTTTTTTTTTTTTTTTTTTTTTTTTTTTTTTTTAACATATTTAATTGTTCCTTAGTATCTTATAATCATTTAGTATTGAAAAGTCATGAAAAGTCATAAAAAGTATTCAAGTTCAATGATAGCATAGGAGGATCTGGAGGGGGGGGGGAGTAGAGGGCGTACGCTCCTCCCCCGTTAGCCCGAAAAAAAGGAGAAATAGAAAGGGAAGAAAGGAAGAAGGAAGGAAAGATGGAATAAATAAGAAAGAAGGAGGCTTATATTAGGTTATTATTCATGACGAAACTGTCTCTAACTGCATATTAGATACTTTAAAATTTCGCAAATTTTCTAGGGGTTGCCCCTCGGACTCCGATCCTCCGCCTACCCGGTTAAGTTTCTGGATCCGTCTATGATGATTATCTACATTGCTGCCAACACTGCATAAAAATGAAATACTTGCCATGAAAAGACTCTGTGAAGATAGTCCTCTACAATTATTACACCATTTAGACTTCGTGGGTCCATGAACGGAGCCTCAAACTTGAACGCAAATTACATAATAAGTAAATAAACAAAACTTTGGCACCATCGTTTGGTGATGATTCGAGAAGTAAACAAGTTTCTTTGTGGTATCGTAACAGTGTTTGCAAGTCCCATTCGTTCTGTCTCTTCTCCAGAAATCAGTTGTCTCTTCTTGATGTGAAAACGTGATAACTGTATACAAGAGGTTACTGAGTGTTTATCGTTTGGGCAGACAAACTTGTAAGTTTTGGAAAATTTTTAAGTTGCTCTGAATCAGTAGGAAAATAAATGTTAAAATCCGACAAATTCTAATCAAATTATAATTTTTAGCAATTTGTAAGTGTTTGTGGGAGACTAAAATACCTTCCTTCAACTAAGAAACTATACTTTTTCTCAATTTACGACAAAAGTCTCATAAACAAAGCTCGAGACTGCGAGTCATTTTATTTTTGGCATTTTTGTTTATTCAGTGGCAGAATAACATCCGAAGTAAGTATTGTGCATGTTGTCAATCTACGCCATTAAATTTCCATTAAAAATCCAAGGATAATTCCCCGCATGCTTAGGTACCTAATCTATGAAACACATTTTTAGAATAGTTTTGATTTCAAAGAAAATTTTGCTCTCGATCTGCTTAGGAATATACCGAGGGGAAAGCATCCGTCAGCAAAGCAACCACACTCTTTCAAATCACAGTAAAAGGGATTTTTCACGAGCCAGTCAAAATTTTGGCGCATTGACGGGGTTCTATATAATCGATATTAATCATTAAATTCTTGGTTACAATAATCATTTTTGGCACATGTAGGAATATGCGATGGTTGAAAAAAGCCCTAGCACGTTTATGATCACAGCTTCTGAAGTGTGAATGTTGACGAATTGGCCCTCAAAAAAGAAATTCGGGCCGATTTCTGTATCGTTGAAAAATTAAAGTTGATTCAGTTGAAACCACAAACATTTTAAGTGGATTTGAGTTGCACATCCTGAGAATGATCTCCATACTGGAAAAATCATAGTTAATTTTACCATATAAAACAGTGATTCAAATAAACTCCTACTTAGTAGTGATCGTAATCAATCAGAGTAGTATTTTTATCGTTCATTAGTGGTGCGCAACGGTCATGACGTATTGGTAAAAATGCTAAATGCTACTGCATGATATGGTGGTTTGAACCATAGCGTTGGTTCAATTCATGCAACTTTCCCCCTTGGGCTAGTATAGATTACTAGGGGGCTACGCTCCCTGGCCGCTATGCGGACCAATCCCCTGAAGGCGCTTTGCGCCATCAAGACCAAAGTGTGAAACCACGTACCTCTACTGCGGCGTTTCAAAATTTCCGCTGGTATATTATTTTGTCGCAGAGGAAAGAGCTTACTGCACAGTTAAAACTTTTTACAGAACATTCTGCTGACACAGAAGAAAAATCAAGGAACTTTTTAAGAAATTACGTTAGCCAGTTTCCGAAAGAAATAATAAAGTACGACGGGAAGTATGCAACGTCACAAACGAAGATACGTGATTTCGCTCTTTAGCCATTGATATTTCGTTTATCCCACAGATTTCTTCATTTAAAATGGAGTCTCTCCAGAATTTGTTGTACGCAGCCGTAAGCCCAGTTTTCCTTTCCCTGTGCGTAGCCGCCCTCGTATGGATACATCTTCGAGACTCGATCAACTATTGGGCAAAGCGGGGCATCCCTCATATACCCGCCCACAGGTGCCTCTTTCTACTCCTCGCCGAAAAAATCGGTTGGAAACACGATATGGAAATGTACTGCGATATGTACAAAGCCCTGGTAGGGCACAGCTACGGAGGTGCCTTCGAAGTCCTCAAGCCAACCATCATTCTTCGCGACCCAGCGATGGTCAACGCCTGGCTCGTCAAGGGTTTCTCCAGTTTCCGCGACCACCATTCGGGCTCAGCTCCAGACGAGGAGGGTGAGAACCTCACCGGAGAGTTATTCGCACTCACCGGCGATAGGTGGCGCCAGGTGCGCTCAAAACTCACACCTCTCTTCAGCCCGGCTAAGCTCAAACTAATGTACGAGACTCTGAAAGAATGCACCGACGAGCTGAAAGATCACCTACGACAGACGGTGGACGATGAGGCTGACGTCGAAATCAAAGACGTCGTAAGTCGCCACGCGATGGACGTCATTGGAGCATGCGCGCTGGGTGTCAAGTGTAACGCCGTCAAGGATCCTGAAAACTGTGTGATCATGAAAGTCGCTAATCGGGTTTTGGATGTTGGTTGGAGGTCCTCAGTTTACTTCTTCCTGAACCTGGTTCACCCCCGGCTCCCGCATCTTCTTGGGTTCAGTTTAAGATCACCTGAGGTAGTGGCATTCATGACGTCATTGACCAAGGATGTGATGAGGATGAAGAAGGAAAGTGAACAACCCAGTCAACATTTCCTTCGGATGTTGATGGACTCTTGTGAGTTGCAAGAAGAAGACATCCATGGTTCAAAAACGATTTCTTTACAACAGGAACTCGGAGCAGTGCAAAAGGAAAGTGAGTCTGAATTCTTTCAAAAAGTAATTTTTTATGTTTAATTCGAGGGTTGAGGAAAAGTCAAAGTAAACAATCAGAGATTTTAATTGCTTATGAGCAGTTTTTGACAATGAGCCCTCCTATTAATTAAAAAACCTAACCTGACCAGGGCCGGATTTACCTACTTGCCGCCCATGGGCCGCCTGTATTTTGCCGTCCCCCTCTCATTCGTTTTGAAACATCAATAAAAATCATCAAGTAAATGTGCCAGCGGGGGTGGGGTGCATAAGAAGCGTTTACTCGTGTTGGAAACATTTTTTGGGAAAACCCTGTCAACACTACTAGCAAAAATTCACCGACTTTGCGCGGGCGTTAAGTGTCGTAAACTTATCTCTGCGTGGACAAGGCCCTCCATTCATAAGAAATGAACGAAAAAATTGTGGAAGAACAAACATAAATGTGGTTCAATGATTTTAACTTCCGCCGTCGCGCCGCGCAGACCGCACCGTGTTTGGAGCAATGCGTAAAGTGTTCCGACAGTTTTGTAGGCGCTCTGAGTTTCACGCCGACAACCGCTGCTGAACGCACTGTGTTAGACGTAATGCGTGAAATATTCACGCAGTCTTGTAGGTGCTACGCGTTTCACGCTGACCGCACTGTGTTTGGCGCAATGCGTGAAGTATTCATGCATTCTTGTAGGCGCTATCCGTTTCACGCTGACTGCAGTGATCTCACTGTGTTTGACGCAATGCGTGAAGTTTTCATGGAGTCTTGTAGGCGCTAATATGTGTTACATGCCGATCGCCGCGCCGAGGGCTTCTCCTTTCCATCTCAAGTCTTCGTCATCATTCCTCTCTCAGTCGCGCCGTTCCTGCCCAAATTGCGTGTTTGGTCTCGCTCTTAACTCGATTTATTAAAGGTGCTGTCTCTTGTATCACCGAAAGAAGACAAAATTAGAAATTACTATACTCTCAGGAAATGAGAGATTTTGTTTGTAATTGTTTTCTAAATCCGATTTTTTTTACACCTACATTTAAAAAAATTGCAAAATTTGCCGCCATGGGCCGCGGTCCATGTGGCCACCCCCTTAATTCGGCCCTGAACCTGACCATGGAGCCATTTTAGAGAGCTTCATAAATTACGTAACGCACTTTTTCGGTATTTTCGACCCTCTCCTCCCCCTTGTAATGCTTTTGTGACGTAGCCATCTTTTAACGTTTAAAATCAAAATGGCGTAACGCTCCTCTCGACCTCCCCCCGCAGGGCGTTACGTAACAATTTATAAACGCTACCGACATGCGTATTAATTAGTGTACAGTAAGATTTATATTTTTTTTTTTTTTTTTTTTTTTTTTTTTTGTCATTTGCTAAAAGAGGCTTTAAGAATCTGATGAGGCATAATATAAGTATGTTATTATACCATCAGGGAGGGGAACGTCAAGAAAAAATTTTACCGTCCGATATCTTTTTGATTTAGGTTTCAAAATCACGGAGGATTACGTTGCTGGCGTTTTTGCATCGTTTCTCTCAGCCGGGCTTGAGCCAATTTCCATCATCGTGACTTGCTGCTTTTATGAGCTGGCGCATCATCCTGAGATCCAATACAGAATATTCAATGAAATCCAAACGATTAAAGAAGGATCCGGAAGTGATATCACCTTTGAGGACCTCAAAAAACTTCAATATTTGGAGCAAGTTGTAAAGGGTGAGTGAGTAACTTTTATTCCACTGAGTATATAGGCACACGTTTGATTAATTTACGATGAGTCATAAATATTTGATTTCTTACGATGCGTGCGGAAAACATTCCCAGATTTCTATGTACTTTTTGATAGAACAATGGCGTCGTTTTGACTGATTTTCGTATTTTTATTCACAGAAACAATGCGAAAATATCCAACAGCTGGATTTATCCACAGAGAATGCACAGAGCCTTTCCACATACCCGAATCGTCGATTGTGGTGGAGAAAGGAGTCCGACTTTTCATCTCAACTTGTGGCCTCCATAGAGACCAAAAATATTTTCCCGAGCCTGATAAATTCGATCCTGATCGATTTTCGAAAGAAAATATCCACAAAATTGTACCTGGCTCGTACCTACCGTTTGGCGAAGGACCTAGAGTATGCGTTGGTAAGTCCATAATCATAAAATGATTGCTTTAAATTATGAAGTTCACTATTTAGGAGGACATCCGAGGAGTATTTTGTTTTCAAGCAAAAAGTCCTTAGCTGATGCTTCATTGCCTCGGTATATGTTACTTCCCAATGCATTGACACACTGATAATTTATAAAAAAAAAGCAATGCAAATTTTACAAAACATTGTCGGTTTGAAGAAATTTGGCAGCACAGTAAGTATATCGATGCTTATAGTTGATCGTGCAATAGTTTAAATTAACTCTAAATGTGTAGCAAACACATCTTGTTAGCATCTATTTTTAATGCATACAATTGGGCCATATTCTTAGATATACCTAAAGCTATTTTGTGTTCAAATGTGTTGCATAAAAGTACCTGCCGCAATACGTACCACTGAATTATATATATGCTTTAGGATGAATCTTAGAGAAATATCAGTGAAACTGAAGTTCTTAGTCCACTAATTTAGTGGCAGATCGTCGAATATAAGGTGCATGCATTTTATGCGACTATCGGTGAAGCTGAAAAATAAAGATTAAAGTTTTAGACGATCCTTAACCCCCCCCCCACCTTTCTTCAACGTATTGGTATACATTAAAAAAAAAACCGAAAATTATTTTTTTAAAAAATCTATAAAAAGTCTTCGGATAGGCCCTGAAATTATGTAATTTAGAGGACACCTGGTTCTAAAGATCAACTTATCCTTCAAATCCGCAATAATTATTAGGTATGGACTAATGAAAAATTATTAAAAATTACTCCTATAATTGGGCGTGTGTGTATCGTTTCAAATACTGGCCTATAATGTCTGTTCGTCATGATAGCCACGTCCCAGATTATAGATGGAGAATCTCTCATTACGACTGGCCAATGATTTTAATTTGCAGTTTTCTTTCACCGACTTTTACTAATCCTTGTTCTCAGGGAAGCAGTTGGCTTTGATGAATATCAAACATATGGTGATGAATTTAGTTTCGGACTATACACTCCAAACATGTGAAAAAACTCAAAATTGTCTCCGAACGGACCCTCAGAAGTTTTTCCTTGGCCCGAAGGGTGAGGTGTGGCTCCGGTTGAGAAAACGGAAGTAAATTGGCGTGCAACACAAGATCGAGTTTTATATCGCGGTGAGGGTCCTTAAAAGAAAATCACAACGAGGATCACGTCTGCATGAGGAATTCACATCTTTTACTGATCATGAATTATCAATCGCCACCTTCTGTATTAAGATTGTAAAAATACACAATAAATTATTGCTAACGTTTTTAAACCTAACGATGACAATTTTTTTTTCTTTTTTTATTTTCTTTTAACGAAAATGGACTCTGCTTACTCGCACCAAGATTACGAAGGGGAACGCGGAGTTCCCCCAAATCTGGTGCGCCCCAGCGGGCTGATTATTGGTATTGATAGACAAAGCGATAGACAAAGTGGACGTAGGGAGTATGGAGCGATTCTATTGGTTGAAATGGTTGGTTCTTATAGACTAAGGGAGTAAATGATGGATTAACTGTCGTGTCTTTCATGGGTTGCCGTTGGTTAATCTATTAGCTATGTCCATTGCCACCACCCACTTCCACCAATAGGATCCCTTTAAATCCCTTTTGTCTTCTTTGTCTATAGTTTTGTCGATCAATTTCAATAATCGGCCCGCAGGGAGGGTTTCCATTCCTGCTCCGAAGATCCAGATACCAGTCTCGGTCTTCAAGTATGTGATGAATCTGAATATAGATAGCTTAAGAAAAGCAGGGATAAACTTCTTCGTCTAAATTATGTTTTTCTTCAAATTCAAAATTAAAATCCCAGCATTCCTACTAGATATCCATCAATTCAATGTGCATGTGGATGTAAGTATTATTGATACAAGAAAATATCTTAAACTATACGTCAATAAGACCTTTAAAGTAGAATAGCTTAACATTTCTCATTTTTGCCCATTGCCCGGTGCATGCCATTAGGTAAACTAAATTACGTGGGAATGAATTTTGTCGTAAGCGTGTACTTTACTCTAAGACAGCTGGCGCTAAGGTATCAGTATACTTTTTTTTCTGAGTAAAGCATCATGGAAGCCGAATCAACGAATGGACTTCAAATGATCTCAAGCATCAAATGTTCTTTTGGGCTCCCCTTTCATTTTGAAAATGCTTTTCCGGACCATTTACTTCTATTAACAGAGTGAAGTTGATTCTTTAGCCAAGTACACGCAGAATTTTCCAGCAGAGAAAGACACTATCCATACACTCCTACGATTTTGTTCGTGCGTTTTTCAACAACCGAGAGAGTTTTGGCAACTGCTCCTTTTATTTTCTTGACCGAGCAACCTACTTTGGCTTTGACAACATAGCTTCATCCTTGGTAACAAAACCTTAGCGATAACTCACAATACAGAATAGGGGCCCCTCGCCGAAAATTTAATGAGAGCCAGGAACAATTTTCTCGATATTTTTCTTTGAAAATCGTTCTGTGTCAAATCTTCCGGGTTCAGGAAAGTATTCAGGATCGCCTACACGTACACAAGGAACACAAGACCGTTAATATGCAGTTCTAAGGTTCCGTTTTCAATCGACCTTATGTTCCATAAGTCCGCGTACTTAAGAGACTTAGTGGAGCGTGTTGGTGACCTTTGTGAAGGTAACGTGTAACGTAAAACTGCACTACAGCGACACTGCATTATATGATGCAAAACTGCTGGAGTGCAGCCCTACGTAACCCTTTCGCATCTTCATGAGAACACCCATCCATTGGCACTTGGTATCCGCAGGACCCGTAACCTTAGAGGTACTGCACTGGAGGCGGATCCAGTAATTCGGCGACACCGAATTTCCTCCATTTAAACCTATGCTAAATAATCGATTCTTGTCGGAACACCTGGTCTCTCCAAGAATCGATACATTTCCATAGGTCTAAATGGAGAAAATCCTGTGTTGCCTATTGGCTGGATCCGCCAATGCACTGCACCCTGCCTACCCCACCTACTTTCCGAAGTGCGGACGCACGGAACATACGGTCGACCGAACCGATCTCCAGAAAATCGACATTTCACTGTATAACGATTTTTCGAGAATATTCGAGAATATTTTTTCTATTCTCTAAGAGATTAGTGCACGGGATAAAAGAACTGACGCCACTTTTTCTAATGCCTCAAACAGTGTAGAGTGTATCGAACTCTCGGGAATCACAAAAGTGGCGGAAGTTGTGTTCATAAAATTCAAAACGACAGAAAGTATATGGTCTTATTTTGTTTATATTGCCTTGAACTTTACTCAAATCGGACAGTTAGTTTACCGAGGTTTATGCCAATTTCTTACATTATATTTAAAAAAAAAAAATAAAAAAATAAAATTCAACCTAGACCGTTGCAAAGGCAAATTGATACCATGTGCAGCAGGTGATGATCTTCAACGATTGGAAACAGTTGCTACCATTTATTTTGTGACTTTTAGGAGTATCCGAAGAACGAAGGACCCGGTGCCGGTGCCCCTACTCTCCTCCACGAGGGTATTCTAGTAACGATTAGATTCTCCGTTTGATGCAGAGCCAAACTTCACCTTCCGGACTCAGAGTGAAAGTTTTCCGGTCAAATTTGAGTGGATTTTTAGTCTTAGAACATGGATGTAAGGAGTATTCTGACAATATGGTGATAAGCATATCCTTGACGTTCATTATAGCCATCCGGTTTGCTGAAAAAAGAAGAGAAAAGTCTTAGATAGGTAGCGAGTCTAATAGATCTAATAGTCTAGCGAGTCTTGCCTATAAACAGCTCCTTGCATAAAAATAGACTGTGTTTTCAATATTGTAGGTGCCAACTTCGCAAAGTAAAATTATATTCTAATGTTAGGGGCTGGTTAAATTATCATTCAACTCTAGGTTTAACGGTGAAGTACCCGTCGCGCTTAAACAAACATCTTGCCTATAAGGAGATTGAGATCAGCAATCGAATCAGCATTCTGCAGAATAACTGTTGTCTGGTTGCCCTGTAGTAGTAATGAACAAAGTTGATGTCTTCAGCTATATTTTAATTATATTTTTAAGACTTTCACCTAAAATTATCCTGAATTTCGAATGTCTGAGATCAACCAGCCCATGTCTAACAGAAACACACCAAATACTTCAAGATCACACTTTGAAACACTTCATCAATCAATTTTTTTGCATGAATCAATTCCATTGAAGCTTTCGCTCTAGTTTAGACCTCTGAGCCTGAAACGCGGAGGGTACGTCTATGTAGACTGTAACTTTTTATCCAGTGCGGTTAGTGGTTTATTTGAAGCGTGAATTTCTGGTCCGCACGCGCGAAATTCGTGGGGCACTGGCTTAACAGGCTTTCAAGACGCACTTAAAATAAGGCCCTACACTTCATTTTGTCAAGTTAATTTATTTGGTACAAATCTTATGAGTATGAATGTCTGAGCTGTTAACAAGCAATAAATGCTCTTGAAAATGTGCGTGACCTTGCGAACATCAAATATTTTGTGCGGTAAGAGACATCATGTCGTGGAACATTCCTTACTGATGACACGTGTACTTAGCTGTTCTGGAGAGGAAGGTATCTCTCTGGAGCAAGAAAAACCTCCGTAAATCTTAATTCAAAGCAGTATGAACAATCATATTATCATTGACGGGGACCAAGTAAGTCGTGCAAGCAAATGCTTCGAATTTCACTCTTTTATTGTCGTAGCTTAATTTTTATAACATCGATAACCAAGGTGTTGAGTGAAATGTCATGATGATCAATATCATGGCAGGTGAAAGGTGTAATAAAAGTTATATTGCCAAGTTTTAAAAAAATGATAAGTCTCCACAAAACCGTTTTTATTTTGTAGTTACTTCGGAGGGGATAAAGACCTTAAAAATATAAAAACTTTAAAATGAAAAAATAAATATCTATCTTAAATTTTATTACCAATGCAAAATCGTGGCCCTTCACCGAAGGGTAAATATGATCCAGGTACAATTTTATCGATATTTTCCGCTGAAAACCGCTCCGGATCAAAGTTTTCGGGGTTTGGAAAGTACTTCGGATCGTGGTGAAAACCGATTGTTGGAATCAAAAGATCAACTCCCCTCTCTATCACAAAGGAGGAGTTAGGTACGTTGAAAGTCTCTGTGCATTTTCTCACCATTAATCCACCAGGTGGATGTTTCCGGAGAGTTTCTGCGTGGAAAAAAATATATGAATTTAAAGAAAGAAAATGAGCGTTAAAATAAAAATAAAAATTACCTAATAGAAGGAATGATAGTTTGAATATATGAAGAATGTTTCAACATAAATATGTATACTCTTGATACATAAGAATACTTTTTCCCCGATCTACTTAATTTTATGAAAACATAATAATTTGTTGATCGGTCGGAGATCAAACTTCAATCCTCAGGAGCTGTTCATGAATTACGTCACCCACCCAAAGGGGAGGGGGTTTCTTGGGAGTCAGGAGATGCGTGGCATGTTGGTGACAACTAGGGAGGGGGGGGGGTTGAGCAAAAGTGATGGACCATGTATATCCTAACTTAGTGTAATCTTGTAAATTCAAAAGCGTAGCATGTCTGTATGAAAATGTCTCACTGAAGAAAGAAGCTTAACCGAAATAAAAAAGAGTATATTACCTTGAATCGGAAAACAGTGGAGCTTTGAACACTCATAGTGAGAAAAATCGTGGATTGTAGACTTTTCTTACGTGTTCAACGTTATTTATTAGTCACTTTTTACCGAAGGCTGAAGGTTTACAATAGTCTCACATCTACGCAAAAAGGGGAGAAACGCATGAAATGACGTAATTTTTAGGGAGGGGGTGTCTGGGGGTGAGTGCCATGTAGGTGACGTAGGGAAAGGGAGGGGTTAAAAAGTCAGGAAAAATGGGTTGCGTAATTTATGGACGGCTCCTACATCGATTATAAGCTTAATAGGGTTTGTCTCGCACATTTATAAAACGAAATCGAAATGAGGAGCGTACCGCTGATAACTTGCGTCAAGTATGAGAATTTTTTCAGGTCCGCAAATTGTATTTCATTGCCAGATCCATTTTTGACTGTCTGAATTTCTTTAAATACTCTATCCTGAATCTCAGGATGATACGCTAACTCGTAGAGGCAGAATGTTGTCGTAGCGGCCACAGTGTGAAGTCCAGCCGCAAGCATGTTGACAATTGTGCTCGCCACGATATTTTCAGTGAACACAGAGTCTGAAATTAAAAAAAGGAGGGCATGAAAATTCTAAAGAGTGCGTTAGCTTCTTCAAAAGCAGGGCCGGATTAAGGGGGTGGCCACATGGGCCGCGGCCCATGGCGGCAATTAGATTTGCCGCAAAAATTCGGGGCGGCAAAAATTCGCAATTTTTTAAAGTGTAGGTATAAAAAAATCGGATTTATAAAAACAAAATTACAAACAAGAAAAGGCGACAAAATCTCTCATTTCCTGACAGTATGGTAATTTCTAATTTTGTCGTCTCTTAGTGATACAAGAGACAGCACCTTCAAGAAGTCGAGTTAAGAGAGAGACCAAACGCGCAATTTGGCCTGGAACGGCGCGACTTAGAGAGAAATGATAACGAGGACTTGAAATGAAAAGGAGAAGCCCTCGGCGCGGCGATCGGCATGTAACACTTATAAGCGCCTACAAGACTGCACGAATACTTCATGTATTGCATCAAACACAGTGCGGTCATTGCGGTCAGCGTGAAATGGATAGCGCCTTCAAGAATGCATGAATACTTCATGCATTGCGCCAAAAACAGTACGGTCAGCGTAGAACGCATAGCGCCTACAAGACTGTTGGAATACTTCACGCATTGCGCCAAATACAGTGCGGTCAGCGCGGCGCGGCGGCGGAAGTTAAAATTATTAAACCCTCATTTATGTTGGTTCTTTCATAATTTTTTCGTTCAATACTAACAAATGGAACGCCTTCAGGTCTTGTCCACACAGAGATAGGTTTACGGAACTTAACTTTCGCGCAAAGTTCTTATGCTCGTCAAAGCTTTCTGACTTTTCATATTTTACTCTATGTGTAATTTAGCTTGCGTACTTAAGTAAGGCATTGAAAAACTTAGGCATCTATGAAGGACTCTTGAAAATGAAACAAAATTTGAAATAATATGTCTGCATTAGGAGAGACTCGTCGTTACTGTTGGACGTCCTTATGCTAAATGGAACTATGATGTACGCAAATCCTGCACACATAGTTCCTTTTAACATAAATATATCCAATTCTTTACAAAATATTCTTACGCTAATTTTGATTTTTTGTTCAACGATTATTGCTTGAATTCAATAGTTTCCCCCAAAATGAGTTGTGCATTGGTGATGATATTTGTCAGTGGCCTCATCTGAAACACATTTAACTAAGCTTTTCCTTTACGCTTGAAACATTTTAAAGTTTTACTGCTCACAAGTTTAAACGAGAAATAACATTCATTCGAACTGGATATTTGTTCAAGATTGGCGTAATAAAACGAGTATTTTGCTTTGTGTCTCCTCTGTTTAAGAAATGAATGCACACGCATGTATATAGCGCTCTTTAAAGTTTAAAGGGACCTTTTAAACTTAGGGGAAAGAACCTAAGGGAAAATTGTTAATAACACTCTCATAGTCACTAAAACAAATACCAAAGTGAATATAAATATGGATATTTACTTACCCTCGTTTTTCAATGGCCGTGGCACTCCATTTAACATGGTTTCCCTTTCTTCTTGTTCACCTTCAGTCTCAGCACGACAAACATTAATTAAATATTGGAGAAAATCATTTCCGGATGATCCGTTTTCGTTTCTCGTCTTTATGGCTTGATTGGTTACTGAGGTGATGAAGTTTGAGATATTGGAGAAACACCTCGAGCGAAAAAGCCTCGCAAGACTTGGGTGGACCATGGAGAGGAACAGTTCCATAGATCGCCGCCAACTGCTCCTGAAATAATATGTTTAAGATTTCATCTATTTTTGCATTTATTTGTGACAAAATAAATTACTGAATAAGTCCAATCAGGGAGTAGGTCCCATTTGAATCAATGAAAAATCTGATTAACATCTGAATGCATTTTCTCAGAAACTTTTAGAGCTACAACCCTAAGGGCATGCAAATATGACTGTCAGCTACCACAGAAACCGGATATAGAAAGATATATTTGCATTAAAATTCCTTTTCAAAAGTTGCAAGTTAGGCAAATTCTTTTGCAACTTTCCCAAGTTAAAACTAGGCATTTAAAAGGTTAGATATGTGTCCACACTCAAAACTCTGGTTCCATTTATAGTCCTAATTTCAATATAAAGAAAAGTTTAAAAATACAGCAATTTCAGTTTCCAAGAGACACGCCAGAAGAAAGTGAAAATTCTTGAAAATGGAGCGCTTCTCATGTTTGACAAATATGTAAGCAAAGGAGTGATGACCTAACGCATAATGTTTACATTGTTTAAATGTAGGTAAGTTTTATATAATTTTGAAGATAAAAGCGTTCACTATAAAAGCAGATAGAATCAAAGTCAATGTTTTATTTTGGACCGTCTGGAGTCAGAGCATGATCTTTTCCCCTCGTTCTCAAAGTTTATGTGTGTATAATATTGGACCCTGGATTCATGCACCCTACGAGGTAGTTTAAAATAAAATTACTTTACCACCAGTCTCGAAGTAACTTGAAATCCATTAAAAAATATTCAAATTTATTGACCTCAAGATTGGCCCTTAAGAACATGGTATTTACTCTCAGAATGACCGCTTACCTCATAAATTGATCCAAAATCTTCTTAATTTCACAGTTTTGAGGGTCTTTGATTGCATTACATTCGCCGCCCAGACCCCATGCCCCTATCACATCCATGGCGTATCTACTCACGAAGTCATCAACATCAACTATTGCTTCATTTTTGCCTGAGCATAACCTCTCTAGGTGAATCCTGGCCTCCACAGCGTAGCTTTTGTTAGCATCATACATAAAATTGAGCTTGACCGAGCTAAAGGCCGGTGAAACTTTGGCGCGAACAATGTGCCATCGCTCGCCGGTTAGAGAAAGGAGGTTTCCGGACAAGTTCCTTGCTTTCTCGTCGGGTGGCGAATTGCGGTCATGGAAGTTGGAGAATCCTTTGACGATCCAATCATTGACCATTTTGGGGTCTCGGAGCAGGATTGCTGGCCGGAGACCCTGATACATCCCAATAAAACTGTGACCCTCCGTAGCCTTGTAGTACTCGCTTACGATTGTGGAAAACCTTTTGATTTGAAGAAGTTGCACAAAAAAGTTGGGTAGGCATGTCAGAATTGAAATTTCGGGAACGCCACGCTTATTCCAGTAACTAAACTTATTCTGGACGAAGAACCATACATAGAGAGCAACACTGATGCAGAGTAGCGCTAAAGTAACTTGTGAGTTTACTACACTTGTTAATAACTCCATTTATTTGCTCGTTGGTACCTGGAAAACGAAATGAAAAGTGAAGCTTTCACAGCAGAGGGTCCTTCTTTTCTTTGTTTTCATAAACTTTAAAGTAGTACCATGACTGAAGAAACTTAATTCTGATGTTCTTTAAATCATGTTAATTTACTGTAATGCCATTCTCTGTAAAATAAATTGGGCAATTTAAAAAGAAAGGATTTCATCTTAGTGGTACCTTTCGCTCAGACAAACCGTGCTGATTACGGCTCGTATGGAACCGTCAAAATACATTTTCCATGCTGCACAAAAGTCAGATTGAGGGTATTGGAGCTCTGAATTTTAGAATATAAATTATTTTTTCCAAGAGGACCTTGTTTGAACTTATTACAGAACTTCTTTGGCTATAGACTTCTTTGTCACCCGAATTTTTTTCTTTTTCTTTTTTATTGCGATACTACTTTAACCGTCTAAATCTGGCTAATTTCAAAAGAGCCACACAAGCACATAAGACAAATGTGAAAGAGAAATTTCAGATGAATACATGGAATCTTTAATTGGAAAAATGTGTATTAAATTTGAAAGTGATTCAAACATTTGTGAGAGGGAAAACGTAACACGCCTCGTAGGTAGAGCAATCATTTTCCTTGTAATCTGACTAAGCATATGTCAATTATGCTACCCATCGATCGTTTCTAGTTACAATGGTTCAAAGCGTCCGTAGTTGTTTGAGCTTTTAAGCTAGATTGACACAGGTGATTGGTAAGGGGGAGGGGTTTCAAGATACCCCTCATATGAGGGAAGAAGATTCATATTTACCGAGCACCATTCCCTTTATACTTAGCAGTGCAATTTCGTAATCGAAGATGGTTTTAAATCTATCGTCATTGTCATACGACTTACAAAATTAATTGTCAGAGAAAAATTGAAAGCAGAAAACAGTGAATTTCAATGTTTTCCACTGTCATTCAAATGTAAAATGACAAATTGAAAGTAAAAAACCAAAAATTCGTATTACTAACCTCGACCAGCAACAGCTCTGAAAGACTTAAAATCTGAAAAAAAACCTTACCGCAACTTAATTTCCTAGCCACCAACGTCTGTTTGTCTTTTATGAAAAGCAGTGGAAAACTAACTATTTATTGCAGGTATTATACGGTCAGGAATGCTCACTTGAAAGAGTCTTACCTCAACCAGATTTCCTGGGCAACAATGTCAATTTGTCTTGAATGAGAAGACGTGATAACGAAATATTTATTGCAGGTATTATACAGGCAGAGCAGCTCATCAACTGATGCCGACTTTTCAAGCATCATCAAGGGGCTTAAAGTTCATTCTTACGATACAAGAAATTTCAAGTATTAGTCAAAACACGAAGGGGAAGGAGGTTAAATACTTGTATTACGCACTGAGTATGAATCTTAAAAGATAATGCGTAGTTAAGGATAACAGCCCACGATTTTCGTCATCAACCCCGTCAAAGACAATTTATTGGGGGCAGGGGGATGCTCGGCTCGTCATACTCAGTGGGAGGTGAGGCTGAGGGGGGCTGCATTTTCAGTAAAACAAGTTTCAACCAATATATCCTGAATAGTTTCATATCAACTATAAATCTTTTTTTCACAATGATCGAAGACGTTTTTAAAGTAAGATGCGTCGACTTGTGACTGGAATTAAATTAATAAACTTAGCAGATGAATTTAGCTTAAAATGAAGGAATCAGAAATGCATTGTAGATATTATTTTTTGTAGGTGTACTTTGGAATTTGAAACTTTTCCCTGTATTTTAAATGTACTGAAATTGCTTTAACAGCTTTTAAAACAATCAGAATAATTTCTCAGGTAAATAAGTGATGACGATATTGTTTCTGTTAGTTTAATCTTAGGTCCATCATAAAATATGGTCTATAGAAAGGGAGATTCGACTCTTTTAAACTTGTTTCCAGGCTTTAATCTAAATTTTTTCCGTTCAGTTTTATTATATGGTAATTCAGGTATCATTTGTTGCGTGTGATGATACCTGAATCATGCCTTAAGAGCTTTTTCAAGATGTTTGGCAGTAAACAAAGTTGACAGATGCACACGCGGACAATTGTTTTGACCTTATCCTGTCCTCCGACACTCCCTCCTATGAAAATCATCGGAAAAAACAAATGAATGACTCACGTTTTTAAAAAGCAGAGTTTTACTAACACATACTTCTTTAAATGCTCGTTGTACACAGTACATACAGTATAAGAGACACTGTCCTTACAATTGGTCTGATATAATATGTAACATTTTAATTATTTCGCAACTAGATTTTCTTTTGGGATCATAAAAATATCAAATAAAGTAATAACAAACTAAAAAGCATTGATTTAAATATTAATTTTCTATCCTTGGAATATTTCATTATTTAGCCTGGTTATCAGGCCGAGGGCTAGTTAGTTCCTCTTTTTCAGCCGCAGCCAAACTTCACCTTTCGGATTCAGAGTAAAAGTCTCACGGTCAAATTCAAAATGGTTTTTGGTCCTAGCGCAGGGGTGAAGGGCGTAATCCGATACCAGAGTAATTAACATCGTTTTCACGTCCATCAAAGCTAGCCGGTTTGCTAAAACAACAATTGAAAAACATCGATTATCCTCTCTATTAATAGTGCATGTAAAATCCATTCCTAAATATTTGAACATTTTAGTTTCTGACTACTACTAAATTTGCTTGGTTTTGAAGATTTTCCGTAAAATCTGTGATCCATTTCTTAAAGAAAAACCTTGTGAGACTTTTGGAAAACGAGGTTCTTTTTCATTCTGTCGCTTGGCTACCTTCAGGTATTATTGCCTCTTTACAAAAGCCCCGGAAAGAATGATAGCATAAGAACAAAAGGACTTACACGGAAAAAATCTTTGGTGCTTATAGCCAGATAGTAGGTGACATTTACCATCTTGGATTCCCAGATTCGACCCCTGAGAACAATTTTGCTACGAGCACAAATGTATGATGGTTAGAAACCTCAAACCGCGATCAGGTAGGCGTTGACAACAAAGATGGTAATTCGCACCAACACTGCTGGGCGGGCGCGCCGTCCTCCGTAGACGTCCCGCACAGCGTTGCTGAGATAGACCTTCAAAGATGGTAAACTGACCCATCCGGATGTTTAGTGTATCAATCATAAAAGCAAGGAGAACCTAATATTTTGTGTTTTTAGCCATAAAGAGGAGTATTTTCTTGTAAAACGTACAGCTAAAAAAATTGAATACAAAGGTGTGCAATGTCGGGGTTCGCAGCCAGGGGATGGTGGAAAAGGGTAAATCGCGTAAATAAATTTCGGAATCCAGTAAAATGAGACTACAGTACTTATTGTGAGGTGCTGTAGTCGTATCTTTATTCAATGTCTTTGAGTCGTATCCGACCTGTCAAATTTTTTTGCCTACCGCGGGAATTGAACCTGGGACCTATCATACCCTAGCCAAAGACCCTAACGATTGAGCTATAGGTACAGTATGATGAGAATCTTGACCGAATCTTGTACATAGCTTCGATTTGAACGGGAAACCAGGATATTCAATCTACATACTTAGATTGGTTCATTCATTTTTCTAATTTTTGTATTTCATTTTATTTTTTAGCGTTATTTCAGTTTTTTACTTTATTTCATTTCGTTACCTCATTTTAAATTTTTTTCTTTATTTTTTTTACGTCATATAATTTTTCTTTGATTATTTATTTTTATTCATTTACTTTATTTTAATTTTTTCCCTTTTGTTTCTATACTTAATTTTAATGTTTTACTTTATTGTTTTTTCTTTACTTAATATTATTTTTCTTTGATTATTTATTCTTTATTTCTTCCCTGTATATTCCCATTACTTACTCTATTTTATTTCTTGCAATTTTTTATTTTTTTACTTTAATTCGGTCACTTCATTTTAATTTTTATACTTCATTAAATATCTCTTCGTTGTTATTTATAACTGCATTTTATTTATCTATTTTTTCTTTTTCCTTTTGATGTCGAGAATCAATTCAAAATTTTCAAACTAGGATTATTTTTATGATTGGCTAAAGTGCTTCTAGCATTGGACAAATAAGCCCAGGCTACTTACTTAAACAAGTGAGATTATGTAGAATAGAATATAAAAAAATTACCCCTCTAAAGTACTGAAGCCTTGGCATGATGTTAAATATGTATAGTGCATGCCTAGCCTACTGGTAAACCTGGGATGTTTAGCTTAACGACAGCATACAATTGACAAGAAACATTGTTAAAACATTAGTAACAATTGATAAATTCCTGCCATTTCCTTGGAATTTTGAATGTAGAAAAAAATTGATTTTGAAAACTATTATTAGTACCAGGGGCCTTTGGCCATTACGCTGCCGACAACCAATGCGGAAGAAAACAACATACGTAAAAAGTCGTTGAACCACCGCGTTCAAGTTATCTCGGAGATAAATGGATTCAAATACCGCCAATGTTTTATTTCTGATCAATGTTTTTAAAAGAATACACACTGTTATTCTAATGAGTTTCCGCAAATTTTCCTGAGTGATTTAAAATAGATAAAAGAAAATTTGACTTAAAACGCATAAAATCCGAAATCTAAGCTCAGATTCGGCTTCCTCGTGAAAAATCGATGCAATTTCATGTATCATATGTCACCATATCATGAAGGAAAGAGATTAACGTAGGCGTGTAGATTCTAACATATCAGTCCGACGTGGCAACATGGGTGATTCGGAGTGGGTCAGCTGATGAGTAAGTAGAAGTTTGTTTTCTCGGAAACGGACGAACCAAATGCTTGGCGCCGGCGCCTGGCGGCGTAGCTCAAACGTTTGAATTCTGTGCCTACTTCCGCATACCGGCCGGCTTTGATAGAATCCTTACGCCTGCGATTACCCTCTTTTCTTTATGCTATGGTAACATATGATACATGAAATAGCATCGATTTTTCACGAGGAAGCCGAAAATGAGCTTAGATTTTGGGTATGATGCGTTTCAAGTTGCATTTTCTGAATTTGAAAATTTAAGACGGCGGACGTAGCCTAAATCGATACATCGGCTCCCATTCCATCGATTAAATTCGAATTTTTAGTCTAATTTCGAAAAACCAAGGTGGCGGGCGTGGCCTAAAACGCTATCTCGGTTCCTACTCGTCGGATTTTCGTAAAACTTGGTGCCAAGGGGAGGGAGGGGGAGGAAAGAAATTTTCAAACACTGCAATCGATATGTCGCAGGCAAATAGTAAAATTAGGCATTTTGTCAAATGCCTAGGCAAATAGTCAAATACTAGGGGGCTATGCCCCCTGACCGCTACGCGGTCCAACCCCCTGAAGACGCTCCGCGCCATCAATGGGCCGCCCTATTTTTACCTCCTACCAGTGTTAGTTTTATTTTTTCCCTCAAAAATTACGATATGAGGTATACCTTACTTTTAGAATGAAATAATTTTTGGTTTTGGTGAATATTTTAGTTCGTTTCATTCCGCTTTTTTTATATCAGTGAAAAATTTAACATCGTCCGAGTTTCTGAATTGTTGTAATAAATGCCCTTTAATTATCATTAAAACCGAGCAGAGTCAAGAATAATTAATTGCTCGAAGTTATATAGTTTTGCGGCGACTTTATCGTCGCCCGAGCCAGGGACGGGAAAAGGAGTACGCTCCACGAACATATTATTACACGCTTATCAGTCACACAAGGTGGGTTGAATATGAATTCTTGAAAATTTATCAACATACTTTCCCTAATCAGTCCATATCTGATTGCTTTCTTTGGTGACTCAATGTTGGTAAAGCGTAAAAAATTGGCGGGGCAGACTACTAACAAAATACTTTAATTGAGTTATCTGAGATGGTGACCTTCATAATCAACAAGTTTATAATTTGCACTAACGCATTCTGCAGTTCAATGAGCCCATTTAACCGAGTAGCATCAACCATAACAAGATAGGTGAAGCGCAAGCGCACTCTTTGGTGCAATGAGTCAACTTGATGGAGCAGTTTACCATCAATTTTGTCTCGGTGAACAGATTTGTAATAGCTAGTAGCAACTAATTGAAAATGATTGATTTCCCCAAAGACGTTGTGGACAATACAATGCCGTTGGTTATTCTATCAATTTTTTCATGTATACGGCACCAACTTTTAATGAAGAAAACTAAGATGGTTATCCGCGCACAGTCATTTTTTTCCGTGTATCTCAAAAACCAGTAACGCTCTTCCTCACGACAATGGAACGTCGATTTGTGCTGTAGATATATACTCTGCTGTGTTAATTTTCTCCGCCATCAATATAGGATCATAGTTAAAGATTACTTTTTTTTAGTTGAACTAGTCCATCTTAGAGAAAAAACAAGAAAAAAGCACGGACAAATTTTGTCCAAACTATGTGTAAGAAGGTGGTAAAATAGTGCAGGATCCACACTATTTTGCGGGGAAAATAAGGCCAAAAAGTTCAAAAATTGCAATTAGAGTCAAACATTTTTGAGCTCCGATGGAAATTTTGAACTTTTCGGGCCCAACTTTACTCGTAAAGTAGTGTGAATCCATCACTACTTTACCACCTTGTTAAAAAAATACTCACCTATGCAAAATCGTGGCCCCTCACCGAAGGGTATGTAGGACCCAGGCACGATGTTTCCGATGTTCTCCTTCGAGAATCGTTCGGGGTTGAATTTCTCTGGGTCGGGAAAGTACTTCGGATCATGATGAAAACAGGCCGCTGGAATCATAAGACCTAGTCCTTTCTCTATAACAACTGATGAATCCGGAATCTGAAATGATTCTGTGCATTTTCTGCTCAAAACTCCAGCTGGAGGGTATTTTCGCAGGGTTTCTGCACAAATTGAGACATAAAATTAATAATATTAACGCAAATTAGGATAATTTCGGAAAATTATATTGAAATTAGGAGGCCACACGCCCCCTGACTGATCAGCGGTCCGCGCATCGTGTCTCGTGCACTACGCGTCACGTAATGATTTTTTTTATTATAGAGGAATTGGTAAAGCATAATTGTATCAGCTGATACCTGCTAACCTCGGGGTCACCATGTTAAATTATAAAGCATTATCTAGCGTATTACCAACGAAATATGAATATTTTATTGGGCAAATAAGCACAATAAAAAGGACTCGCTGTAAGAAAAGTAACTGTCGCTCGTACTGAAAATTAGGTTAGCAAGTATCAGCTGATACAATTATGCTTTAACAGGAATGTTACACCTAGATTAATGAGAGTTTAGATGTTTCTTCTAAGTTCAAAGCTCGATAAGCAATTTAGAGTTCGAGAGCTTATTCTCGGATTGGGTGAGGTGAAAAAAATAGCTTTTCTTCAAATCGTTGATAGAAAATGTAACATGCATATTGGTATGGCATACCATTGACGACCTGCTCCAGGTACTGAAGTTTCTTGAGATCTTCAAATCCGATCTCATCGCCGCACTCGTTCCTCACGGTTTGAATTTCTTGGAAAAGTCTGTCTTGGATCTCGGGGTGATACGCCAGTTCGTAGAGACAGAATGTTACTGTCGTGGCCACAGGGTCCAGCCCAGCCGAAAGGAATAGTCCAATCATACTTGTAATGACATTTTCCGTAAACACAAAATCTGGAAACACCGATATTTTTTTGAGAAATTCTACAGGAAGGAAGAAAAATAAGAAAAGTACGAACCTACGGGTTTTAAGCCACATGAACGTAGCTAGAAAGATATGTGAGAAAATCCATTTAACTTTTAAAAGGGTCTGCATTAGAATTTAGCAACTACATACAATGGTAGCATATTTGGAGGGGGGAAAAAACCTTCTAGGGGGACCAACCCTACCGGGACCCCTGGCTACGCTCATGCTGATCGGTGCACACACCATGAGAGTTCATATTATTATTTTGAATTTTGAATTTTACGATGTAATTAAGATTCCAATGCATGCAGAGGTAAGATTACAATTACTTTTCTTTTTACCTTCATCTTCCGTCGACTTCAATTTCCTCTTCTCAATCTCGGTATCACCAGCACTCATCATAATTTGAAGGAAATCTTTCCTGGACGATCCAGCTTTCTTCTTAACATCCATTGCTTCTTTAGTTACTGAAGTCAGGAATTTTGTCACTTCACTAGTCCCTCTGCTCAAGCTGAAGAGCAAAGCCAGCTTCGGATGAATCGCTGACAGTAGGATCTGCAGGGAGAACCTCCAATTGATCCTGAAACAATAGCGTTTGAAATCAGGTATATTTTTTCGGTGAATTGGAATTTATCTTTTATCCAATCAATATGGAAAAATTTAAAAAAAAAATGCCGAAAAAAAGTAAAAAAAAGTACCATGCCATGCCGTGGGACAAGGAATAATCAACGGGGTAGGATCGTGCTTTCTTTGTTAGTATCAACAATAGAGTTTTTACATTTTGAAAGTCTTTAAAATTACTTCCTGCTAAACATACAGCTCGAAAAGCACAACAACGTAAACGTAACCCGGAATCTTGCTGGAAGAACAACTATAGCCTTCATTGCTAGGGGTAGGAGTGGGGGGAGGGGGTGTAGAGGTTTGTATCAAACCCACTCGCGAACTGCTTAATCTTACTCTATAGTATAAAATCATAAGGGTGCCGTGTCACGCTGAGGGTGTCACGCTAAGGGTGTCACGCTGAGGGTGTAACGTTAATCATGCCACAAACCGGTTTCTTCTCCACCCGCCAGTGGCGTGGCGTGAATTGCGATGTATCGATTGGTTTGTCATTTAAACCTATGGTAAAGAATCGATTATTAAGGTGTTCGCTGCGAACACCCTGTTTATCGATCCTTCTCCATAGGTTTAAATGACATATCAATCGATATATCGCAATTCACGCCACGCCACTGCTCCCCGCTCCTCTCCCGCCGCGCACGCTCACATGCTTCCCGCCGTCTCCTACCCGGGTTTTCCCTAACTCTTAAAGATCCTTTAATGATCTCACGATACCGGCTTATTAGAGGTGCGAAGCGCCTCTGGGGGGTTGGACCGCGGAGCGGCCAGGGGGCGCAGCCCCCTAGTTCTTAATTAAAATTATCAATTTGAAAACAGTCTGCCTGAAGTATTTACCTAAAAATCTGCTGCACAGCTTTCCTCATCTGACAGTTTTCCGGATCTTTGATGGCGTTGCACTGGATACCCAAGGCACAAGCTCCGATGACATCCATGGCATACCTGCTCACGAGGTCTTTGATGTCGATCTCTACCTCCCCTTTCGCCGAGCATAACCCCTGCAAGTGAGCATTGACGTCCGAGGCGCAGCCCTTCAGGGTCTGGTACATGACTTTGAGCTTGGCCGAGCTGAAAGCCGGTGCTAGCTTGGTGCGTACCGTGTGCCACCGGTCACCGGTGAGAGTAAACAAGTTCCCTGAGAGGTTCCTCGCTTTCTTGTCGGGCGGCGAGTTGCGATCGTGGAAGCTGGGGAACCCTTTGACCAGCCACTCTTTCACCATTCCTGGATCACGAAGGATCACCGCTGGCCGGAAGAGTCGGTATATGCCGCCGTAGCTGTGTCCCTCCAGGAGCTCGTACATTTCTTTCGTCGTCTCCAACACTGATTTCGTCCGGAGTGTTTGGGCCATCGTGAAGGAAAAACACTTGATAGGCGAGATGTAGGGCACACCGCGCTTGCGCCAGTAGCTCAGTTGGTCTTGCAGGTAGTACCAGAGAAAGAGGGCGGCCCCGGTGAAAACGAGCACCGAGTTCACCGGTAGGCTCAATATGCTTGTCAGGAGCTCCATTTTTTTAGGATACCCTGAAAAATAAATAGTAGAGGATCAAGTCTAGTTTGGATGTGTTCAAGGTCGCAAACTTTTTTTATTTTTAACACATGAAATACTATGAAATGAAGAAATATTGAGTAGATCTGAAAAACTCAAAACGGAAATTGAAGTATCAAAGTATTGTAATGAGTACGATGACTCAAGAAATAGGTACCTCATTTTTCCTCTCCTTCCACATTCTTCCCCTCGACCCGAAACTAAAGATAAATGTCATCGATTTTTTTTTTTTTTTTAAACTTTGAGACGCCCTCCTGTTCTTGAGAGATTGCTGACCTCACAACTCATCTCTTATTGGAATATTCGTGGCTATGCCTCCAATTTTTATCAATTTTTAAAACCCAATATTTCTATACGAATGAAAGAGAATCTGACCGAGTCCTAACACAATACGATGCGTATTTTTGTTATTTTGTTTTAATTTGTTTTGACGTGGGAAACGATACATGCAAAAAAAACTAGGAATTCCACTCTAATTTAAAATTTGGGGATTGGAAAGGACATTGCTTAACAAAAATAATACGTGACGTCATCAACCAAACGACACAAGTGAATTACTCTTATTCTGAGCACTTATGTTTGTCTTGTAAAGTTTGTAACAACCCTTCAACTCTGCCCTCCTCTCAAACGTGATAAAATAAGTAAAAACAATTAGTGAAGAAAAGTCATCAAATTCCTTTAAAAATTTTCTTCTGTCCTTTAAACTTACCTTGCGCAATACTGCATTTAAACTGGCTTTATTGACGTTACCGCAATTTACAATTTCCTTTGTTACCCATACTTTTGTTTTAATAAATATGTATACAAAATTTCAGTATGATTCATCCAAATAGTGTAAAAACTCACCGAAAAGTAATGCTCCGCAGACTTTGGGAAAAATTCAACTGCTAACACATTGACGCAGCTTCATTGATTTTGGGAATAGAAATCCACAAAACAGCGAGTCAAGAGGGAACTCGAGTAACTGCGTTCTGATATAGAGTATCTCTTTGCTTATCACCTCATATCACTCGCCTCTGTTTACAAGTCTATCAAGAATCGGGAAATATTATTTTCACTTTTCAATGCATGGATTAATCATAGTCATACACTACTGTAAGATACAGTTTATCTCTTCTTATCCAAGAAGTGTATAAGAGGAGTGCAGTAATCCTAGTAATTCCATCATATTTATTTTTGACTGACAATGAGTGCAGATGCTGCTACCACCTACATTTTTATCTGAACATATGACGTAAAGGGTAATTTCATCACGTTTTATTTATTAAAATACAGGTAAAAAATAGGGGCTGAAAAATGTTCAGTCAAAGCATTTTTGTATTTCAGGATGTTCTTCTCTCGACAGATAATGCGTTATAATTGCTCTAAATAAAACAATATTCTTAAATATAATAAAAATTCATACATGTCTGTGTGTCCTCGTTTTTTTTCTGCAACCAACTTGTTAGATAATCATTACTCCCAAAGTTGAGAAAATGTTGCCAAATCAGCAGTCTTGGTTCTTCTCGGGCAATTATATCATATCTGGTTATAGGGCCGAATTTACTTAGGTACTTGCCGCCCATGGGCCCCCTGTATTTTTCCGCCTCCTTCTCATTCGTTTTGAAACATCGAAAGATCGTATTTGACAGTGGTTCGATGTATCGTTTGGTTCAAAACAATAGAATATAACCTCAAACAAAAATTTTAGGATTTAATTTGGGAAAGCTGAAAATGAGAAAATTCCTTCACTTTTCATTGCCATTTGGCACTCGAGAGAATAAAAATTCGATCACATGAGACCCGTTACCGTAGATTTTTAAATTGACTTTTGAGGCTGTGGTTACATATTGAACCAATCGATATCAATATCATCTCACCTGTGTGATCTGTTGAATACGATCCATAAAAACCCTCAAGTGAACGTGCCGGTGGGGAAGGGGGAGGGGTGTATGAGACGCGTTTACTTGTGTTGGGCACATTTTTTGAGCCCTGTCAACACTGACAAAAGTTCAGTTCCGTAAAATCATCCCTGTTTGGACAAGGCTTTCCATTTAAAAAAAACGAACGAAAAAATTATGAAAGAACAAACATAAATGTCGTTAATAATTTTACGTTCCGCCGCCGCGCCGAGCGCTCTGTGTAGGCGCAATGCGTGAAGTATTCATGCAGTCTTGCAGGCGCTATGCGTTTCCAGCCGACTGCTGCTGACCGCAGTGTGTTTGACGCAATGCGTGAAGTATTCATGCGGTCTTGTGGGCGCTATGCGTTTCATGCCGCCGCGCCGCGCCGCTCCGTTCCAGGTCAAATTGCGTGTTTGGATTCTCTCTTAACTCGACTAATTAAAAATGTTGTCTCTTGTATCACCGAGAGACGACAAAATTAGAAATCACTATACTTTTACTCTCGGGAAATGAGAGATTTTGTCACCTCTTCTCGTATTTAATTTTCTGAATCCCATGTTTCCTCTCTTTTTTTGATACCTACATTCAAAAGGATTGCAAAATTTGCCGCCCCCAATATTTTGCCGTCATGGGCCGCGGCCCATGCGGCCACCCCCTTAATCCGGCCCTGTCTGGTTAGTTGTATTTTTTGTATTTTTAATTGTATTGTGGGAAGGTTTACTTAATTTCAGTGTGAGTCCACATTCTTTGTAATTATATGTCAAACTCTTCTCCCTCAAAATGGTGGCATACAAACGATTGGAACCCTCCTAACAATCCTCACTGACCTCGTTAGGAGTTACGATCCTACTCTTAAGCTAGAAAATTAAGAAGGTTAAGATGAGGAAGTACATGGGGAGGGACTTCGGATGGTCAAAAAAAAAAAAAAGAAGAAGGTAAAACTATGGGCAAAAATGGAGATAAAGTAACCGATTTTTCAGAGGTATAGAGGGCCGTAGCATATTAGAGGGGCTGTGTTATTCGTACATTGCATTATGGGACACACTTCGAATGAAGTAGCAGCAAAATACGTCTGATGGACTGATTTCGTATAGCTACATCAAAAATATAAATTTCGATGGTAAATGTTGGCGCCCTCAAGAGGCGTGAAAAAATGATCGATATCAAAACAGTTCATTTGTTCTGGGTGGAGTCATCGAATACATCGAATATCGAATGACGTAGTCACTTTTTATTGTGAGAGGCACGTGCTAGTGGCGCGCTCTATTGGTCGGGCGCGAGAAATTAATAAATGATAGCGGAGCTGTAACGGGGCAATAAAAACAAATCGGTTCGGAAAATGCGGACAACCCCCGTTTCTCGCGCCCAGGGCGGGAAATAGGAATAACCGCCCCCGGCCCCCACCCCCGCCCCCCTCCCCGGGGACGATTGGCTACAATTTGCATGTTTAATAATGCCCGAGCCGCTGAAATCCTCAATCGCCAGAAACCGAGTTCAATTAATTTCATTCCTGCTTTTTACTTATTCACACGCTTCCTCTTTTTATGACGGCGCTGAGCGTTCGACCCGCATCATTTGCAGAACTTCCGAGGAGTTTTAAGAAACTCGCGTGACCCATCGAATGACGCCGCTGGCGGTATGCAGAGGCGAGCCAGGGGGGGTGGGGGTGTAACCCCCACCCCCCCTGTTCGCCCGAAAAAATGGAAGAAGGAAGAGAGAAAGAAGGAAGGAACTGAGAAAAGAAGAAGGAAGGACGCTTGTATTTGGTATTCATTTGAGACAAAATTGACTCAAACTGCGTAATAGATGCTTTAAAATTTTGAAAATTTCATGAAAGAAGCCCCTCGGACCCCCTTACACTCCCCCTTGAAGTATTTGGATCCGCCTTTGGACCAGCAAACTATATTTTCTAATCGTCTGGAAAAGAACGGAAATACTGTCGCACGGTTGAAACAAAACTGTTTTTGGTTACTAGATTTCTGATTATATGATCTCCGGCATACCCACGTATTTATGCGAGAAATAACTACATGTTCCACGAACACCCTACGTACATAGTTTTTTTCAGTGTAAAATCATCCAATTGAATTTTAGTAGGTAATCTTAGCGTATGACTAATAGAGAATTGATGCAAGGAAATGATTGTAGTGCGTCTTATGGGAGTGTTTGAGTAACCGAGTTCACAGACTTTTTTTCAAATGTTTTCTGATTTGGAAAACTAAAAAAAATAATTTAAAAGTAAGAACATGCAACGCCATCTGACTTCTCAGCTCGGAATTTTGTATGACAAATATATTTTAGCAAATTTAGGTACTCCATCAAAAAGTGATAAATTTAGAAATCGAAGATTTTCCCGTGCTAACATGCAATAGCTTCTGTTTATAAATAAAATCTATCAAATTTCAAACTCTTGTAAATCCTACATTGTACTCAAAGACGCAAACGTCCTAAAAATATCATGCAACGAATCTGTTTGATTTCTTTTACAGGAAATAGGAAAAATATAATTAAAGAAAAAGAAGACAAATATAAATCAATGTACTTTTTAATGGCACATTCTTTATGACATCCAACGGCTCAATGTACGCGGTACATACATCATGATGGACACAGTCCTTACAATCATCGGTCCAAAATGGTCCTGAACATAAATTAAACAGGCTTGTAAAAATCTTATAAGATGGAAAACTATCTCATCAAGCCGTTTCCAAGTCGGGCAACGTTCAAGCCATTGGCAAGGCGTAAATGATGGATTAGCGACATTTCCCCATTTAAAGCTATGGATTAGAATCGATTATTAAGGTGTTCGTTGCGACCACCCTGTTTATCGATCCTTTCCCATAGGTTTAAATGGCAGATCAATCAATTCATCGTGATGCACGCCACGCCACTGATTTAAGCAATTGTCCGGAGTCGTTCATCTCTCTTTAGTTCCTTTTTTTCAGTTTGAGCCAAACTTCACCCTCTGGACTAAGGGTAAAGGTTTTTTTATCAAACGTCATGCGGCTCTTGGTTTTTGCACATGGATGGAGAGTGTAGTCCGACACCAGGGTTATCATCATGGTTTTCGCGTTCATCAAAGCAAAACGGTTAGCTGAAACAAGATATGAGCCTCATGTGAGAAAAAATCTTAAAAAATAAAGAGTTACCAGTCTGTCTGCTTGCAATATCTTGTTAAACTTCATGGCACTACATCAATCAGACTATCCGGTCTGTTAAACAAACATTGATTCAAGCAATCGCCCAAAGTCGCTCATCTCTATTTAGTTCCTTTTTTTCAGTTTGAGCCAAACTTCACCCTCTGGACTTAGGGAAAAGGTTTTTTTATCGAACGTCATGCGGTTCTTGGTTTTTGCACACGGATGGAGAGTGTAGTCCGACACTAGGGTCATCATCATAGTTTTCACGTTCATCAAAGCAAAACGGTTGGCTGAAACAGATATGTACCTCATATGAGAAAAAATCTTAAAAAATGAAGAGTTACCATTATGTCTGCTTGCAATATTTTGTTAAGCTTCTTGGCACCATGTCGATCGGACCATCTGGTTTGTTGAATAAAACGTTCAATCCGTGAAATCGGACATTTAATTAATCAGATCTAACTTTCGGATTTAACTGATCTAATGTAAGTAGTTCAATCCTACGAACCAAAAATTCGTTTTCACAAATCAAATAGTTTGATAAATATGGAACATCAAGCGTTCGGCTCATACTATTGAACTTATTTTTTTCAAAATATCCATTGAAACTCAGCCCGCAAATGCTTATGTATGTCTTATTGAGTGATCCCAAAATACCACTCTAGAAGGAGGGGAGGGGGTCGAGGAAAGCGTTGCTTCATTTTGATTTTACGTGTTTAGTTTTTGTTTCAACGTGCTTGTGACCCACGTCACAAAAGGGTTACGAGGGGGAAGAGAGGGACGTCGGAACACCCAAAATTAAGCATTATATTTAATGAACGGCAACCAATTATATTTCCCTCACCTTTTACTACTTCTGAGCAATTTTTCAGACATTATATAAGCTTTTGATGAAGCAGTCGAATCTTCAAGAGTCCACTTCCTCCAAACTCATTTTTTAAGAAAATTTATCGCAGCGTTTGTTATTATTTACGCATAATATCACGCTATTATTGAGTTAAGAGGGATAATATGCGCAGTTAACTCTCGTAATATGAAGAGGTCGTCACAGAATATTCGTAAAGTGTAGGCGGAGTTATGATAATGATTTATTTTAAACTTGCTTATCAATTATGACCTCACAAAATAAAACCCTCTAACTCCAACCCAACCCAACTAAAAGCGAAGTGGTGCTTGCATCATTGATGCAAATACTTTTTTCTTATTTTATATTTAACCTTCCCCTCAAATGGGTACAAATGAAACTAACAGAGCTATGAAAGTTTTTCGATAGGCAATTTTGAAAATAGTTAATGTATATACGGTATCATACTGTTACTTATTCTATTAGAAATATGTATCCCAAAAGAGCGCGTATTTCTCATTTTGCTGAAATATCTTCCTACAGGTTCTACTATCGTGAATTAAATGTTGAAGAAACTCAAGTTGACTTGTGGAAAGGTGTAAATACGTAATTTTTTCAAATATTTTTCTGGTCAAAAGTCTTCACCAACTTACCAATACAAAATCTGGGTCCTTCGCCGAATGGCAAGTATGAGCCTGGTAATATTTTATCAACGTTTTCCTTTGAGAATCGTTCAGGGTCAAATTTCATAGGCTCAGGGAAATATTTAGGATCGCGTTGGATACACATTTGAGGTACCAAAAGGTTGACACTTTTTTCAATCACAACAGATGAGTCTTGAATTTGGAAAGGCTCTCTGCAGAATCTGAACAAGAATCCAGCTGCGGGATAAAGTCGGAGCGTTTCTGAAAACACAAATGAAAGATTCGTCTTAAATTATTATTAAAAAGAGAGGCACTTTATATCATGGGCGGAACGAGGAAATGTTTGTATGGGGTGGGTCAAAGTGCACCTCATCAAGAGAGGCCCAGGGGACACGAAGAGACACGACCTAATCAAGACGAATCTGTAAGGATCCCCGGCTCCAAAGGACGATTCAAGAGGTTTCCTTAGCTTCTATGGGGGGGGGAGGGTTCCTGGAGAATTTTTTAAAATTGAGTAGTCTCAGGAACAGTTTCAGTTTGGGTATGATTCTAAAATAAATTCTTAACTACATACATCTAAGCAAAGATTCATCGATTTTAAAAAGCAAGATTCATTTAAAAACCAAACATTTGATAGAACTTCGCACCATTCATTAAAAAGTTCGAGTCGGAGTTCCATGAACACGTAAAAAGATTTCAGTGAGAGCTCTGAACGCGAGCAGATATTTCCTTCAAAATCATGAGTATGCAACGCTACGATATCCGTCATTGAATAGTCATTAGTCATCGCTTAAAACCGTGGACTTATACACTTAGAGCGACATTTGGACGTATTTCTATCAAACAGAACTATGTGCATTAAGACAAGAGCTCTGATACCCATAAGGATATATGCATAACAGGGCTCACGTAATACAGTGGACTCTCGATAATTCGAACCTCGATAATTCGAAAACCTCGTTAATTCGAAGGAAAGTCCGTTTCCCTTGAAAATCTCTCGATAATTCGAAGAAAATCAATGTATTTTTCTCCCCTCGTTATTTCGAAATTTTTAAGCCGGCGCGGCCCTCTATAATTCGAAATTGCAACGTAAATTCTCTCTGTAATTCGAATTTTGGGAAGTAAATATGGTCCTCCCTCTATAATTCGAAATAAGACGGTACATTCCCTCTACAATTCGAAGTCAACTGTTTAAGTACCTAGGTGTCTGAAAGAGCGGAAAGGATTGTCAAAATGTAAACATGTAATTAATAATTTTAAAATTAAATATAAATAATTAATACTTAATAATAACTTAGTGTAATTTTTACCTCCGTAAAGAAATAAACTGATATTTTTGGTTCCTTTTGACGTAAATCCGTCCATTTGCCTCTCTAATTCGAAATTTATCCGCATGAATCTCTTTAATTCAAACTCTCTTTATTTCGAAACCTCGCTAATTCGAAGAAAAAGCCGATTCCCTTCAATTTCGAATTATCGAGAGTCCACTGTAATGCACATAGTTCCGTTTGACAGAAATGCGTTCATTTGTGACATACCTCGTTGGTGGAAAAAATATCCTAAGCCGATTATGAACGTCGGGAATAGGAACTGGAAAGCGTGGGTCATCTCCGACTCAAGTCTGATTCTGAGTCTTGAGGGAAACAAGAAAAGAAAAAGTCAGCCGCACTAAAAAAATACAGCCAGTTCAGTGGACTTTTTACAGGTACACGTACGCCGAAATCACGTTAGGCATAAAGGTGAAAAATGGATTGTAGCCATCTCTAATGATCTCAGACTATTTTAGGACGGTTTCACCGACACTCTACTGATTGTTAGTTCGCTGAATTTCTTGCAACCCATTGGCTAATTCGAGTTCAGATTTTTCATACGTTTGTGAGAGACCAATTTACCATTTACGACCTGCTCTAGATACTGCATGTCTTTAATATCGTCATATTCGATTTCGCCACCAGATTTCATTCTAGCTGCTTGGATTTCCTCGAAAAGCCTCTCCTGGATCTCAGGATGAAATGCCAGTTCGTACAGTCCGAAAGTCACCGTAGCAGCGACAGGGTCGAGTCCGGCAGAGAGAAAAGTTGAAATCACGCCGGTTATGACATTTTCCGTGAATATGTTGTCTAGGGAAAATATAGAGGAACAATATCATCATACAAAAATTCATAATTTGAAAGAATAATGTCTTATAATACCACCATCCTCCGTAGCCTCTTGTAATGGTTGTAGTGTAGTGTAACAGAATTCCAACTATTGGACCACATTATGCAATTAGGAACTATACATTCTTACTCAGTTTAGAAACAACGTATGCATCTACAGTTTTTCTATATGCACATAAGTGTTTTTACGGATGAGACGAAGGGGACGCCGGACGCCCAGTGATGGCGACAGGGAGTTTTAAAGAAAATGAGGGAGTCCCAACTCCCAGAGAGATTATGGGAGAAGGGTATACTGAGGCGGCTAGGTGTCGCAGAACGCCAAAGAGCGCGGTAAACGAATATTTTGTGCGTAAGTAAATGGTTTACCTTCAGATTTTACAGTTTGATCTCCATTTTGGCTGTGTTCTTTCCCATTTTGAGTTTCAGATTCGCTAGCACTCATCATAATTTGAAGGAAATCCTTCCTGGGCTGCCCAGACTTGGTTTTCATGTCCATCGCCTGTTTCGTCACTGAGGTGAGAAACTTTGTGAGATCCTTCGGAGGTCCGGCCAGTCCGAATATCTTCACAAGTTTCGGATGAATTAACATGCAGAGCTGCATGAGCGTGAGCCTCCAATTAATGCTGAAAAAAGGACGCAATCTATGATTAGGATTTTCCACCTTCTTTTGTCGTAATGTTTAGCCACCAAAATGAGGACACTATTCATTTCCTTCATTCTTCATTGCAGAGAAATTGTTATTTTTGGTACGCACTCCTTCCGAGGGCCGGGAGAAAACATCTAACACATGCAGCAACTTAATTGTCAGAGGTGAGGTGCGAAGGCAGGTTTTACCAAGAATTTTCTTTTTTGTCGAAGGGAATTTGTATTTCATGAAATTTGTAAAATTGCACGTTTAATGTGCGGGGAACTTTGTTCAAATTTGCCGTGTTCTTTGCCTAGCAATGTCAACAAAACAAGACTCTCAAACCCACAAGGATATTTGATACCACTATTTGTCCTTTATGAATGTGCTTGAAGTATCATCAAAGTTGAGGGCGAAATGAGACACATGGTCTTGACCTTGACTTTACAGTGCGTTTAAATATGACGAGTCAAAACAAAACCACTATTCCCAATAATCTCAATACATTTAGTTTTTTCTCAATTTATCATCGAACTATCAAGATACCTTAATCACAATGTAAACCATATCGACGTCAAAACCATCAAAGCACGTAGCTCGGTTTGAGGCGTGGCAGACTTCCTGTCATACTTTATTTTTTTAGATAGAAAAGTACTCAACGTCAATTCTTGAAAATCTTCGTATTTTTTCTTCTCTGCAAGAAGAAAACTGTATATGAAAATTTCAATAATTGATTTTCTCTTTTTTTAAAAATAAAATAAATGAAAGCGGAGATTTTTAAGCACCGCAAACGAATTACATGGTCTGGTAGTTGCACCGCCGATATAGAGCCTCCTAAGGGGAGGAGCTGTTTAAATAACAACTATAAAAGCGGCCCTGAGTGTAAATATGTTGCAATGATAATTAAAACCGTACATACGTAAAAATTGCCTTGACAGCTTTCTTCATTTCACAGTTGTCAGGATCCTTGATGGCGTTGCATTTGATCCCCATGGCACAAGCCCCGATGGCGTCCATTGCGTATCTACCGACCAGGTCCTTGATGTCGATCTCTGCCTCATCCCTCTTCTCGCAGAGCCCCTGCAAGTGAGCGTTGAGCTCCTCGGCGCAGCCCTTGAGCGTCTGGTACATAACCTTGAGTTTGGTGGAGCTGAAGGCGGGAGAAAGCTTGGTACGCACCGTGTGCCAGCGGTCTCCGGTGAGCGAGAACAAGTTTTCCGAGAGGTTTCCCTGACCTTCCTCCACCTCCGGGCCACGGTCGTGGAAGCTGGTGAACCCTTTGACGAGCCACTCCTTGGTCATCGCGGGGTCGCGCAGGATCACGGTCGGCCGTGTGAGCTGGTATACGCCGCCGTAGCTGTGGCCCTCCAGGAGGTCGTATTGTTCGCTCACGACTTCCAGCATGGTCCTATTTTGGAGCATCTGCGGGATGAAGAGCGAGAGGCACTTGGACGCCGGAACGTACGCCACGCCGCGCTTGGCCCAGTAGTTCACCTTGTCTTGGAGGTAGTAGTAAACAAAGAGAGAGATCCCTATGCATACCAGCGTAGAGTTGCTGGGCATTGAGAGGAGGCCCTGGAGCAGTTCCATATTGTTCAGAATCGTCTGGGAAACCATGAAGATCATAAAAAACTTGACAGAATGAAAGATACACGATGAGGCGAGTAATATCCGAGTGAGTTCCTTGCCTGCGGGCCGATTATTGAAAGCTTAAAGCAGCCCGATAAGACATCGAATTGCGTCATATTTAATGGTTAAGGTAGGGTTATGTATTTGTCTTGTCAGCGGGCTGATTGTTGTAATTGATAGACAAAGCTATATAGACGAAGAAGACTCAGGGAGTATGGAAAGATCCTATTGGTTGAAATTGGTGGCTTTTTATAGACTAATGGGGTAAATGATGGACTAACTGTCGGGTCTCTTGTGGGTTGCCGTTAATTAGTCTATTACGTGCCTCCTTTGTCCATTGCAACCACCCGCTTCCACCAATAGGATCCCTCCATATCCCTTTTGTCTCTTTTGTCTATGGCTTTGTCTATCAATTTCAACAATCAGGCCGCAGGCCGACATAGTTTCAATAATCGAGCCGTTGGACAGAGAGGAAATGACAAAACTACTTCGTGCAACTATTCGTGTTCTGAAGCCGCTCATATTGCCATTACGTTTATTGAAGGCGCACTGGGCAGAATGAGTGATACGCAGTGAAAATTGCAATTAACGTGTACTCCTTGGCTTCCTACGGTCATTCGCTTTTTCATTATCTCATCATTATTTGTTAAAGTTGACTGCATGAAAGAAAATTTCGCGAATTAGCGTATAATGCATCGTCCTGTGCGAATCAGGGAGAGGCCGCCAGTAAAGGAAATAAACAATATAACACATGTCTCCTTACCAAAATTTCAGCGGAACCGGTGGACAAACGAGTGAAAAAATAAAATGAATAATCCTAATTTCACCGCGATAATAAATATACAACAATTTTGTTTTCGTCACTTGAAACTCCCTTTCCCCCTCCTTAAGAACAAACCGAAGTCTGCCAGAGCCTAAAATACAACGAAATTGATTTTAACATTATTCTTCACGGAGGAGACATTTCCTCAGTGTTCTGAATTTGTACTCGTAAGCTTGAAAATATTGTTCATAAGAGATGAGGTTTTTTTGTAGAATCTAACCTGATGTACATTTTTTTAATGATACAAGTAAAAACTCTCTGGTGGCTTGAGTTAGTGAGCAAAATATTCATTTTAATTAAGTACATCGGGGCACCAATGTATGAATGGTCATCGCTGCAGAAAATAAAATTGTAAACAAACTAGATCTTTGGGGGAAGGGGCATTGCTGATTCATAATAACGATTGTGTTTCGTTTATTTAGAGATTTGTGGATTGCTCTGTACGAGGTACTTAAATAGAGCCCAATATAAACATTGATAATGTTATTAATGGGCAGATAAGGACAAAAATATGTCACTGAGATGCCGGGTGGTTGATTTTAGAATTATTTTTTTACCAGATGTAACCTTCAGTGATAGGTTTGTTATTTCCCGTTTATTCATCATAACTTTGGGCACGGAACGTGGACACAAATGACTGCACACTAGAAAAGACTGTCACAGCGAACCAGCTTTGGGTTCAAGATGTTTTAGCTCCTTGGGAAATTGAAAACATGAGAAACATAAACTCTACCTATAAATTAGGTAATATCTATAATCATATAATAATTATTATAAAAATTGAAACCTGCAAATTGAATGATGCAATACGGATGATGATGCAATATGTGTTGTAAAAAACAATATTACTTATATTTCATAGATCTATTCTTTAAAAGTTCACCAAAGGAAAAGAGAAGGAAAACAAAAAAAGAGATAACGATGAGTTTCATATTTTTAAAACTAAATTTAAAAATCAAGAAAGGCAGAACGTGGGTTGGGAAGGAACGGATCATTTAGATATTGTTCACACTGTTCCTCAGTCCTATTTTAACAAAAATACTGCATTGAAGATTTCGTGCTTTGTCCTAAATTTCTCTGTAAAAAATAATAGTTGCCTTCTTCAACCTGAAAATTGTGCATTTTGGTTTTGCAGTAGTTTTCGTGAAAATGAATTAAAGTTTTTTTGTAATTCTTGGCATAACTCGAGGTAGCAACAAACGAGCAAACTGACCTTCTTCAATCGATGTGCGTTGATCCAAAGCTAACGAATTATATACCCCAAGACGTTTAGAAAAGGTTTATATATAATTTGATCAACTTTTGTGCCAAAAGGACCTCAATTGTTTTTGGAAATTTTGCACTATAGACAATTACCACCCGCATTCTTGAATAACTGATGTAAGCAGCTATGTCATCATCTTTAAGTACACCTCTTTACTTATCAGAAGAAAACACTCGTAAGTATTGGCAAACCTATCGATAGTTCAGCACGCATGCCAAATTTCCTTGAAACTCAGTTGACGTGAGATAGCGATGGGAAGTGGTTCTGACATTGTGTACTCACAAGTTTTTTTTTTATTGTGAGGTTAGTTCTTGACAAACTTTATTCGGAAACGAATTAAATCTGCGCGTTTTTGACGTCACCCACTTTTTTTGTCATTGTAAAAACAGACAAGATCCCCGGCTCCAAGTCTTCATATCTGCGTTCTTTACGCTTCCTCTGCAAATTTTCTTTTTCCTCTCATAAGATTTTCACTAATCGCTCTCTATCAGGTATATTGCTTTGACTGATTTCTTTCCTTCCAATCATCATTTAAAATTTGATTTTAAATTTTCTTTTAAAAAAAAACGTGTTTTAGATAGGGACTAAGGCTCAAATATTTTCCATACCCGGAACTCGTGCGTTAAAAATACCTTCCGTTTCCTAGATCGCGTATTAAAAGCTACTCCATTCAAAATGACCGAGGCAAGTACCGTGTTCACGATGGAGAAAATCAAACAACTCGCCAGCAAGAATCGGACAATTTTTGTAATTAACAATGAAGTCTATGATGTGAGTAAATTTTTGGACGAGCATCCTGGTGGTGAAGAGGTGTTGCAGGAGCATGCTGGCAAGGATGCCTCTGAAACTTATGAAGATGTCGGCCATTCCTCTGACGCTCGTGAAATGATGGTCAAGTTCAAAATTGGAGAACTCTGCGAGAGTGACAAGAAAGCTCTACAAAGCAAAAAGGACAAAAATAAAGCCTCAGCCACAACAAGCATCAGTGACAACTTCAGCACGTATAAATCAGGGATCATCTCTGTTGTTGTTGCTTTCATAGTAACTTACATCTATTCATTCTACATTTGAACTCATATGATTATATTACATCATTATGACCTCGTGACTTTTACATCTATGTTTTTTTTTTTTTTACTTTGGCTATATCTACTGTGACTCTTTTTGTTAAATACATTTGTTTCATTTAATACGTTTATATTAGATTTGACATGCTTTATTTTATAAAACTTTTTTAAATTATTCCCGAAATAATCGCTGGGCCAAGAAATTGCCACTTATATCTTCTCAGCAGTGTTAAACACTAATGTTTATTATGAAACCAGAAAAATTGTGGTTCGAAGGCTGATTACTTGTTGTTAGTGTTTCGTCAGTGTTTTTAATCAAGTCAAAATTATTTACATTGATGAAGCAGAAGGACAGGGAGTGTAAACATTGGATTTGGTCCAAAGTGTACTTGAATATTAATATTTTCTGCAAAACATTCGAGTAGAATAGATCATTGTGACCAATCACACTTAAAAAAGAGAGGTAATAAAAGCAGCCCGAGTTGAATTGACGAGATGTTACGATGGTGCAGAATTTACTATACGGAGGAGAAGCGAAGAGGAATGGCTTAAAGAGAGAAAGGCAAAAGAGAAAACAAATTGAACTATTTTTTCGTTTAGTTTTGTACCAATTTATTTCATAGTTTTATTTTAGAACGCTTTTAGAGTTTCTGTAGTTTTTGATTTTGAGTTCCCCCTCTCCTGGCTCCAAAAGTTTGATTAAACGAAGGTCTAATATTCTTGTGGACTCAAGTTGGGTCAATTTTTCTGTTTTGTTCCTGCGCGTAACCGTGTCTTGAAGTGAGGAAAAGGCCAAAATGGCGGCCAAATGGAGGTTGAAATGGTTAAAATGGCTTGGTGTCTTGTGCAAGAGTACGATGATAACAAATTAGGCAGATTAAAACTGTGACCCCAATCGAGGGGGCACTGAACTGTTCAAAAAATGTCGACAAATCAAAGTACAATATTATCTAAGAGCTTGGATAATATTTCGCTTGATTTGGCAGTCGTGCTGAAACGCCAAAAGTTATAAATATTTCGTCTGCACGTTCTTAAACCTTACACCCACAACCATTTTTCGGGAATAGAGCTATTAACGGTTGAGCTTTTCCTATTTTTATTCCTGCACTGTCTCCTTTTCGTCTTCTTTGCTTTCCTCTGCTTGCTCTTCTCCTCACTATTATTTCCTCTCTTTATGCAAAAAACACTTTGAAAATAGATTGATCCACCGTAAAAGATACATTCAACCACTTCAGCGCTGTTTTTCCTTTTGTTTTCATATTCTATCTCAATATTCTCAAGTAGTCATGAAGAGAAACGCGAGAATGTAAAAGGAACAGAAATTTTTTAAATTATTTGATAAGTGAATAAAATTATATGCAGGAAAAAGAATAAAAACCTCAATCTTTAAATTGTATTAATATCACGGTGGCGGTAATCTCAACAGTAATTTGGATTTAAAGTACGAAACAGAACCACGAACTTTACTCAGGTCACTAACTTTCCTATTAAAAACAGTTATACAGACCTCAAGTGAAGTACAAAGGTACATTCACTAGGAAAAAAACACATTGTATCTAGAGTCCAGACTCTTAAAAACATCGACAAGAAAAAGTACTCTTGATTCAATCAGAATCTATAGCTTAAATCAAGAACCAAGCCTCTTAATTTAAGCGGATTTCGTTTTGATTCAAGCAAAAATCCCATTGAATCAAGAGTATTTTTTCTTGTCAATGTTTTCAAGAGTCTGGACTCTAGATCCAATGTGGTTTTTTTTTCCAGAGTTGAAGGCGATTTATCTCGAAGAGGGAGCGATGGCGGAAAGGAGCTACTTAGGTAAAATATATATATTAAAAAAAAATGATAATATTTTCTTTGGTTGAGCAGGAATACGCTGCTCATAGGAGTAAATGATCATTATTGACACCTCAACTATTTCGATTTCTGTTCTGGGCCAACCTCAGCTGCAGTTTTTCGCGACTGGGAAACTCAAGCCCAAAAGGGTATCCGAGGTCCTTTTCGTGAATACTAAAATTTCTCTGCAGTTTTTTTTATTCAAATCTTGCTTTTTTCCTCGTGCGGACTGCGCCGTTCCCGGCTTCGTTGCAAATGCCCGTCAAGGTAAACAAAAGCTTTTGCTGCAGCTTCGAGATGACGTGAAGTCCCACTTGTGGACATTGTAATTCAATGTATGCAGGCCGGTAGAATAGCAATATCTGGTATCTTCCGCGGAGATGGTCCGAAGACGAGGTTGTCAGCTTTCTATATGTCCACAATATCAAAAATGATAGGTTTTTTTTCCACCAAGAAAAAAAAACGCCGCATATCGACGGTGAAACTACCAAACCACGTATCTCGTTTGCGGTGTTTAAAAATCTACGCTCGCATTTTATTTTTTTGAAGTCGACCAAATCAATATCATTCTTTGAAATTTTCACAGAATTTTTTCCGCACAAAGAGGAAAAATCACAGAAATTTTCAAGACTAGACGTTAAGTAGTTTTTTATTTAAAAAATAAAGTATGACAGGAAGTCTGCGACGTCGCAAACCGAGATACGTGGTTTGGTAGTTTCACCGTCGATATGTTTTTTATCATATGCCAAAAAGAATACACCATACGAATTTCTTTGATTCGATTTCCGTTTATTGAAATTAAAATTTTACACAGAATACCTACTTTTCCTTGTGAGAATTTATGAGGCGAGACTCAGCTCACCACTTACGACAAGCAGGTATTCTCTCCTTCGTAATAGTAAGCTTTATCCGCAAACAAACAAGGAAAAAATTGAAAACCGCGGTTTCTCTACCGTTACACAGTTGTGACGTCAAATGGAAATTTACGGTAGTAAAACCGTCGATTTTGATGATTCTAATAATGCGATGATATTATCACGTCCATTGTAATACTTCTGTGAACACTGCTGCGTACTTATTGCTGCTATATTTAACAAAAAAATAACTGTGATCCACGGTCCTGCCACGGTGGATTTCCGTGTGACATTATACAACCAGTTAACTGCATACATGCGGAGCTGTAGCAATTTTCTTGGGTGGCTGGCCACCATTTATCCATCATGAAGGGTTTGAGTCTTTCTCATAGAAATGGGAATTTTGAGGAGTCTTTTCTGTAAAATTTTGAAAAAAAAAAAAAAAAAAAAAAAAAAAAAAAAAAACTGACCTCTTTTCAGATGAACTTGAGGTTAATCTCGTGCAAAATTTAACGAACCGAAGATTCAACCCCACCAGTAATTCGCAAAAATGTACTTTGAACTTTTTCCTGTCACATTCTGCAAAGAAACACGGAAATAAGCCAGGTTTGAGGCATTTTCTATCCTGCATTATGTTCTAAGAGGGCCAAATGATATATTTTAACATGCTCTAGGGCAAAGAGGGGGCTTGCACGCTGGCCCCTTAGGAGGTACGCCTTTGTGTTAAAAAAACCTTTGGTTTTTTTCAGAGACAAATCAGGTCCAGACGTTTGACCAACATGCGTGCCCTCATAGTTTTACTCTATGTGCTTTCCATCTAAGTAACATGAGTAAAGCTCATACGATTTGAAATTAAGCGTGATATCAGCCGCAGCTCATTAATTTTAAGAAAACTATGCCTCGAGGTTTTCTTTGACGTTTTTGAAAAATCATTTACACTTTTCGAATCGTATTTCACGTGGCAACGTCCGCGGCACAAAGGATCTCCGAGGAACCACGCTAGGAAACGGATAAGTTAATAATGCAATTTGGAGGCTCTCAAAACAACCCAAGTTTATCTTGAGATGTCTATAAGCTGGCCGGGGACCCAAAGCTCGGGAGACTGCGGCGAGGGGGGAGGGGGAGGGAGGAGAGGGGGCGGTCGCTCGGCCCGGAGAGGAGACACAATCAAAATTCAACACGTTGATATCGGATGGCATCGAGTAAACAAAAAACCACCCTCCGACTGCAACCGCCCCGTCTCGCGAGGGCACCGTCTTATTCTGCCGTGCTAAGGAAAAACACCGTATGAACCTTCAGGCGTTGCCAAATTTCCTTCAGTAAAAAACGAATTTCCTGGTGAACTTATGAATATTTTTCTTCAAATTTATCAAGTATTTTTTTTTCGCAATTTCACCTGAAGTTACCGAAAATTTCGACGAAAAATATTCATGACTTCCTCGAAAATTAATCATTTTATCGAAGGAAATTTGGCAACCCTCGAATGTTCATATGGCGTTCTCCCTTAGCACGGCAGTATTACTTACCCGACCGTGCCCCCTCGTGTCCAAACAGCCGGAGCAGAAAGAAACGAAATATCAATTTCATCTTTCGCTCCTCGCAACCCCTTGACAGCCATGCGCGATCGCGGATATCAGCTCGTGCGCCGTGATATGAGTATACGATGGGGATGCTTGCGGGTAGTCTGTGGGATCTGACAACCCTGCCGAGGACAGATTAAAAGCAATGGGGACAGCCGAGCAGAAGTAAGCCCTGAAAGACCTGCATAAACAGACCGGCATTGATATTGTGGAGTGTTGCCGTGCGCTCGTAAAATAATAAACTTTATCTACCTGGGCATCATCACGTTTGCCTTCAATTCACCGAATATGCAAAATGCGCTCCTGCGTGGTAAAATAGTTGCTTGTGAGATTCAACCTCGGTGGACAGATCGCAGGTGTTTGATCAATTAGGATGTGTACTCTCATCCATGTGTTTTTCTCTCACACCCTCTATTCGGGGGTCTCTCAGCGGTTCAGGACACACCCCTTTAAGTATATGGAGTCATTCATAAACGCGTGTCCGTTACCTATTGTAAGGATATATTTGCAACGAGGAAAATTATAAGTAAGGTTCAACCGTGCTAAAAACAAGTAGTCAATTATTTTAAAGGCTTTCGGCTTGACATGACTGTGTCGTTGCTATTTAGTTAGCCATCAATTCACAGCTCTAATTATATTAGTTTTTTGCAATGGATTATAAAAAATGACGTTACTTCTTTATAATGAGCCTTTATACTACAGGAAGGAAATATTGAGGATATTATAGTCGATTTTCCGGCAAATTTTTTTAAACTTTCCTGAAGAAGAGTGCCTTTATGGTTATTGAAGTATGGATACTGAAGGATCCACTTCTGATTGATCCTACCATCTTAGGCTTTATGATGCTCTCAAGATCGAAACATA